GGTCCTTTTTGTACCCACACAAGCTCGCGTTCCATGCGTGTTGTCCTGTGCCCCTTTGATGAGACGGCCTGATGAAGAGACAGGAAGAGACCACAAACGAGACACTTTGCTGAGGGCCACACGCAGACATGTTTTGTGTTGGTGTTTCACGCGTCAGATAAGGCCCCCCACGCCATTCCCACGCATGAAAGGTGACTGCCTGCAGATGGGGGGAAACACAAATCGCGTTTCCTCGTTTGCTTTTCAGGTTCATAACCTCCTGGCGGGTGCTAGAGTGGTGGCACAAAAGAGATCTCAGTGATCTTTATGGAATTAGAAGGGTTGGACGTCACTAGGGTGACTTTTGGGTCCAATGGAATCCACAATAGGTTCGTTCGCCTTGCTGGAATCGTTCGAACGTCGTTTTCGGACGAACCAAACTTGTTTTCGGCTCACCTTCAAGAGGATGGAGCAATGGAGTTTAAAGAAGATAGACATGCGCAGATGTACGCGCTGTAAAGTACCTTGTGTTGGTTGTGTGTCGCGCAAAAGGTCGCTGGACGCTTGCGGTGCTGTTGGGTTCGGGCCTTGTGAGGTCGTTTGGGGTTCTGGTTTTTCGCAGGTTGCGTTTTGTGGGTTTCTGTTGGTCTTTGTGTTTTCTTGGAAGTTCATCACTCCGACCGAATTAAAACTTTGTAAAACGCAAACGGGGTGTCGGCACCGCGCATTGTAATAGAGGACCCGAGCGGCGCCGAAGCGGTACCGAGGCGGCGCCGCGCATTTTAATAGAATCCAAAATTGAGACAGACCACAAAATACGAAGAATGGGTTCACAACGTTTGATCTTAGGGCGCTAGGTCGACTCACGGCGGATGTCCACCACAAGCTTTGTAGCAGACAAACGTGCACCAAGCGTGCAAGGCTGCAATCAGACTGCCGAAAAAAGCAGCTGACCATTGATCCGTAAGCTTGATTGCTTTCGATCAAGAACATCATGCAGGCCAAACGCTTTCTCCCCAGCAATTCTCAACCCTCATAGGTTTTCCAAACTTTTTGCTCCTTCAAGGGATCGAAAAAAGTGATTTTTCTGGACACCAGTTTGGGGTCCAAAAGCCCTAGCAAAAACCGGTCTCGCCACAGAGTGCCTTCCCAGTATGGCTTCCGAAGACGCTACAGACCATACATGTGAAAGCCTTTGTTGATTGCGCCATACTTCGAGAGATTGAAGTCCCACCAACACTCCGATACATTGCCAGCAGAGCCTTCCTTGATTGCACCTTGTTAACAGGTTTCAACTTGATGCCAGGGAAGCGAACTACCTGGCGGGGGCCCTATGCTGAACAATTGGCCTTTGAGCTGTGTTACAGATTCGTCATTCCGCCATGGATCAACCTTCTCCCGAATCCGGGATACGATCCAACATGGCCAGTCAAACCAAGAGGTGCGCAGCAGCGCAACCAGGGTGAACGAGCTTAACCTCCCAGTTCGTCCGTGCTACAGGTGGAGCATCGTTCGTTGCTGTTCACAGCCCATCAAGTGCCTGAATCGGGTAACAAGCCCTGCGACTTCCTCTCAGGCGAGAACCTTAGTTCTTCCTGAGGGTGGGTCACTGCCCTGCCAGCTTTGTATATAGTGCACAAACGGCACCACATCAAGGTTTCGCCCGGGCACTGCACGACCTCGGGAAGCCTGCTGTTGAGCGTTTGCGCCGTTCATAGGACAAAGTGGGCACTTCGAAGTACACTCCTTCAGGCTTAGCTGTTGTGGAGCACGCCTCAACCGTGTGCTGCAGCACCTCCCTCTCGCTGAAGGGAGTGTGTTGGCAGCACCACCTTGTCGAAAAAAGACCCGCCACTGTAATTTACCCTTGTCATGCACAGAATGCAGGCCACAGTGGTAGCTTCATTCTTTTTCGCTTGTCAGATTTAAAGCCAAGCAAAAGCTGACCTGTGCACCTCCTGCACGCACGGCGGCTACACTCTGCAAAAAAAAGGCAGGAGGCCTGTTGTGGCAGGCCTGTGGAGTGAGAACTTTTTCAAAAAGTCAGAGTTCCGTGAATCAAGCAAAACGCAATAGTAGTAGTAGTAGTAGTAGTAGTAGTAGCAGTAGTAGTAGTAGTAGTAGTAGGAGTAGTAGTAGTAGTAGTAGGAGTAGGAGCAGGAGTAGTAGTAGTAGTAGTAGCAGTAGTAGTAGTAGTAGTAGTAGTAGTAGTACTAGTAGTAGTAGTAG